CAGAAACTTCAATACACAAGATCACATTCTATGGGTGGTATAACAGGTAGTAGGTGTACAAGCCACCAATGAGAATGAATTGTGAAGTTTGCATACTATTTAACCCTAGGTTGCCACATAGCTGTAGCACTGAAGTATTTGCCATTGCTGATGGTGAGCATGATTTCATATACAGTATACAGTGGGGTTTGTACTATTCTGATCACCTCCAAGGTGTGAGGAATACAATTAGATTCCAGTGCCAGACTATAGATAGTCTCGCTACTAATAACATTTGGGTCGTGATAGTTCTAAGCTTAGGAGGTACACCTTTGATTCTTAAGGATAAGATCACCAACCCCAGGGATGTTTGTAGGGGCATGCTTATGATCTGTGAGAGTATATGGAAAATTTTGGGCCAGAATTTTGAGAGACATGGACATGCCCAGAGCATATGGTGTATAGTTCTGGGTTGATTGCAACATCTTCAGTAGAGTGGAGAAATAGAATTGGTAAACATTGACAAGTGGTGAGGGGTTAAATCTTAGCATTATTTTTTACGTCATCTCCCATAGGTTTACAAATTTAGTGGCTGTGTAAGTGGATTTTAATACTTTCTGCCATTAGGAGGTGGTGTACAAGCATGCTAGACCTTTTTCCCAATCGATTATGGGCAGTGTCTTCTGGATGACAACCTTCTAATGGAGAAATTAATAAAACATGGATATACCCCTTTTGTTTTGGGTGTTGCCATGGAATACTGTCCTATTTGCCTTGGAAGGCTACAGGTTATGCAAAGATAGTGGTGTAAATAATAAGAAATACATGGGTAAGTGAAATGCATCTTTTCTGCTAGGTTAAATTCTGGTTACAGATTATCAAAGGACTTCAGCTTTGTACCCAAGTATAGGTCTTCCAAAAAATATATACCCCTGTTTATGTCAATCTTTAAGTGGTAGGCCAGGGATTAGGAGGGAGAGAGTGGATATAGGTATGGAAGGAAAATTCCCTACAGATCAGATACAGGAGAAGTGTAGACAGTACACCACAGATTCTCAGATTAAGTCCAAATTGTTTTTTTTATTGAACAATAATATCAAGAACAAAAAATGCAATGTTTCGGAGTCATGTAGACCCCTTTTGTCAGATATGTGATAATGACATGCAGTCATGTAAGGTATTTAAATACAGTAAGCATCCACCAATTAAAAATGAGAAATAGAGAGCCCCTTCCCACCCTCTGACATGATGTGAAATCATACACCCCGCCAAAATGCATAGGTAAGCATCAGCATATACCCCATCGTATCATAACCACAGTATCAACAGAGTGTATTAACGTAATGCAGTTATATGTGTACCTATCATGGAATCCCTGGGGGATCTAGCTGGATAGCCACAAAAGGAAGAACTAAATGTCATTAAGATTGATCGGGCGCATCTTAAACAGCTGTTGGCAGAGGAGAAAAAAAAGGAAGCCGGCGGGGGGGGGGGGGGGGTGCACACAGGGGGATAAAAGCAGCGATGGGTTAAATGGTGTGTTTCTATCTTTAATTCCTAGATATGAGTTGGTGTCCTGGGGGACGACAATATGGGTTTCCATTATACACTGGTGACGCCAGCATTGGTGATCTATTGAATACCAGTGGTACTATCTTAATCATTAGAATAGACACTGTATATTTACTCACGTTTGCTAGGGTGGGAAGTTATTTTCTTTTTTTTTTACATTTTGTAATTAAATCCTATTAGCATCAGTTTTTGTCTTTTGTTATATCTATCTTTGCTTTGAGTACGGATAAGGCTGTTTATGCAGAAATATCTCTCTGTGTGAGTATTATTTCATTCTTGTAGTTTATATCTATTTTATTATTTAGACAATATGTCTCATTGGATACTATATATTGTTATTGTAGATCCCATATTATCTGAGTAATCTGTTCTCCAAATGGTCAAGAACATAATGCGAGCATGCTATTTGGAAAAACATATGATCTTTGAGTTCATGTGAACTGATATAATCATATTGTGTATATTTTATCTATTAATTTTGTTGATCTATTCAGTTTTGTTTTGCATGAGAGTACTTTCATCAGAGTATTACACTGGAGGGGAAGGGGGGGGGGGGTTTGATCAGGGTATTTTTTATTTTTTTACACTGTTATGGCTTATAACAGTAATAACCACTGTTATAGCCAATGGTTAATGGTCATGAGTAGCTTTCCATTCATGACAACTTTCCTACTGTTGACATACTGTGATTGGCTACAGCTAATCACATGGCATTCATTCAAGATGGCCACATGTCCAGCTAGCTCTGCCAATCCTCTGAGGATTTCTACTTCCACACTGTGGGACCTCTAGGGATGGCTTCTCTGTTCAACTCCACAGTTGCAGACTCTACACAGAATGGCACAGACACAGATGGAGGATCAGTGGTTTCTACACCTAGTATCTGCAGTCTGGTGAGGTTTCCAGTATGGGATGTGATTTCCCCAGACGCCACAGTTCAAAATGGCATGGAGGTATGTGACCCTAACAACCAGTCTGCAGTGGATGTGCACAGCAGTGACCCTAATGCCTCTTCAGACATCATGCTGAAGGAAATTTTGCTCTCCCTTCATTCTTCCATGCAAGCAGATTTTCTTTTCTGCTTTCAAAGGGATGCTGCTGAGGTTCACGAACTAGGTGAGAGACTGAGCCCTGCAGAAGATAGTGAAAGTGCCATTACTTCCTATAATACCATTGTAGAAGCCCATGTTGTCCACATTGAGGAGGTAGAGCAGATGAAATCTAAAGTGGCCAATCTGGAGAACCAATCAAGACGTAATAATCTTATAACTAGGGGGCTCCCCGAATAGGTGAAGTCTTCACAATTATCACATTACGTGAAAGATCTCTTTCAGTCTGTCCTTCCTTCACTCACCTTAGCAAACCTTACCATTGATAGTGTACATTTGTGTGCCCAGACCTTTTCTCCTCCTTTTCTCCCTGAGGAAATACCTAGAGATGTCTTGTTGTGGATGCATTTCTACCTGGTCAAACAACATCTACTCTCAGCATTCAGGCAGAAAGACAACTTACCAGCGTGAGCAAGTATGCTACAAATGCTTCCTGACCTGTCTGCTCACACCCTACAGCTGCACAAGAATCTGTTCTCTATTGCCAAAGTCTTGCGCAACCATCAAATTGCCTATACATGGAAATACCCATCAACTCTGAACATTACCAAAGATGACTCTGCTCACATCGCCCATCATAACTTACAGGAGGGTCTACGTATCCTGAAAACTTGGGGAATAATTCCTGTGGATCTGTTACTTTCAAATGCACCTTATTCACCCCACTCAACTATACCTGAATGGCAAAGGGTTAACCATTCTCATTCCAACAAGCAGCTGTTTTCCAGGGACTCTATTACCTAATGTGAATGCTCCTAATGCCTGCTTACTTTTACTGGAGGGGCAAGATTATGTCTGTGTCAAATCTCATTGTCTTTACCTCGCTCGTTACAGCAGTTATTTTCACATTTATTCACATAATATTAGATAGTTTAAGAAGATTTATTGGATCATGTTTTAATAATTTATATATACTCTACGATTTATATTTATTGATTGTACTGTTATATGTATTTTTATATTAATTTTATAAGTTGTGTTCAATCAGTAAGATTATTATCTAGAGATATATTACTCTGAAGAGCACTGCTTTATTTTCAGTTTAAATCCTAGACTCTGACCTCTCCTTTGGGCCCCACATCCAATCACTGGCTAAATCCAGCCAACTCAATCTCCAAATCATCCAAATAGCCCACTTCGCTCCTCCTTGCTCTCTAGCTCCCTCGCCACCTCCTCGCACGCTTGCCTCCAGGACTTCTCCAGACCCTCTCCCATCCTCTGGAACTCGCTAGTGCAGTATGTTCGGTCAGCCCCCACCCTGTTGGCTTTTAGGCGGTCTTTGAAAACTCACTTATTCAGGGAAGCCTACCCCACCTCCACCTAAGAACTGTACTTGAGCCTCCTCCATCATAACATCGCCTACAGCTATCATCTCTTGTACCACCTTCCCCTTTCTTTAGATTGTAAGCTCCACGAGCAGGGCCTTCCTATTCCTTCTGTACTGAAATGTATTGTAATTGTACTGTCATCCTTATATTGTAAAGTGCTGTGCAAAATGTTGGTGCTATATAAATCTTGTATAATAATAATAATAATAATAATAATGGCTAAACGGGGATATGCAGTAAAAGGTACATCATTAACCCCATACCAGTTTATTATGGGGAGAATGGTGAACCTCAGCCATCCAGCATGTGGTATTTTCCTTTAACATACCATACTAGAATTGACCAGGCTAGTAAAAGAATGTTGCAACTATTCCTGAATATCCACAATGCACAACATGAATGAAATATGTTGAAAGCACACTGACAAGCTTGTTTCAAGGTACATAGCTCTCTAAACCTGTATGATCACAGCAACATTTCAGGACCACACAGGGACCCTTCCTCAGGCATTTCCTTCTAAAATGTGAAAATATTTTAAGTGTTTATAACTAGAAAATCTGCATTTGCAACATGAGTATAACATCCACAGGTAATATCTGCAATCAAAATAGGTATACATACAATGTACTGCTCATGTTCGAAGCAGTGTGTATGCAAACTAGCAACACAGGCAAATATATGAGCCATATAGGTATGTGCATGTGCATCAGTGCTTGCATTGTGGGTACACCAAATACATTTTGTATATCAAGGCATTCACATACTGTAATGTTCTGTGACACTCCTAAAGAAGAATGGAGAGAATGGGGAAAAAAAAACAAAGGGGAAAAAAGGAAAATAATGAACATTTGCTAGAAACATAACCATGTCCAGCTCAAGTTAACATACTGTAAATGAGAAAATCACCCTTCTGAATATACACTATATTGACAATAGTATTGGGAATATCATTGTATTCAGGTGTTCCAATCACCTCCATGGCCACAGGTGTATACAATCAAGCACCTAGGCAGCAGACTGCGTCTACAAACATTTGTGAAAGAATGGGTCACTCTTAGGAGCTCAGTGAATTCAAACGTGGTACTGTGATAGGTTGTCACCTGTGCAATAAGTCCATCCATGAAATTTCCTTGCTACTAAATATTCCATAGTCAGCTGTTAGTGGTATTGTAACAAAGTGGAAGCAACTGGGAACCACTGCAACATAAAATGACAGAACGGGTTCAGCGCATGCTAAGGCACACAGAGCGCAGAAGTCACCAACTGTCTGCAGAGTCAATATCTAAAGACCTCCAGACTTCATGTGGTCTTCAGGTTAGCACAACAGTGCATAGAGAGCTTCATGGAATGGGTTTCCATGGCCAAGCAGCTACATCCAAGCCTTACATCAGGAAGTGTGATGCAAAGCATTGGATGCTTCTCTGTCTGGCAATCCGATGGACGTATCTGCGTTTCACAGTTGCCAGGAGAGAAGTACTTGCCTGACTGCATTGTGCCAAGTGTAAAGTTTGGTGGAGAGGGGATTAAGGTGTAGGGTTGTTTTTCAGGGGTTGGGCTTGGCCCCTTAGTTCCAGTGAAGGGAACTCTTGAGGCGTCAGCATACCAAGACATTTTGGGCAATTTCATGGTCCCAACTTTGTGGGAAGAGTTTGGGGATGGCCCCTTCCTGTTCCAAATGGCTGTGCACCAGTGCAAAAAGCAAGGTCCATAAAGACATGGATTAGTGAGTTTGGGGTGGAGGAACTCAACTGGCCTGTGCAGACTCTTGACCTCAATCTGATAGAACACCTTTGGGAAAAATTAAAGCAGACACTGTGAGCCAGGCCTTTCTTGTCCAACATCAGTGCCTAACCTCACAAATGCGCTTCTGGAACAATGGTCATACATTCCCATAGACACACTTCTAAACCTTTTGGACAGCCTTCCCAGAAGAGATTCTGCTGTTATAGCTGCAAAGGGTGGGCCAGCTCAATATTGAACCCTACAGACTAAGACTGGGATGCCATTAAAGTTCATGTGTGTGTAAAGGCAGGTGTCCCAATACTTTTAGCAATATAGTATAGTCAGATTCTATCAACAATGTAAATACTGTACTACACCTTGATTACATGCATGTACTGTGATATTACTGAATATTACTTCATATTTTTGAATTATGTATTGAGAGACATGAAAGTGACAGAATGATAGCCAAGCATCAGACTGGACTCCCAGTGTCACCAATGTTATAAAGCTAGTGAGCAGTGGAAAACAAGTTAGAAAGTGAAAACTAATAATAACTAAAAGATAATCAGTAAATTAATTTATTATACACTATGTGCAATCATGCACAGGAAACATGTCCTGGGCCATATGCTCGACATGTTAGACCCATGGCTGAAACATACGTGTGGCTCATGCAATACACCTGATTATGTACAGATTGCCAGCAGACCAGAATGTCCAGTGAGCCCATATGCTTGCTCATTTGGTCGGGGATTTTCTAGGATATGGATGTGCATTGCCACAATCTAATTCCTATATGAAAAATTGACCCGTATATGATCAGAAAAGTAGAATGTAGGGGAAGAAGGAGACAATACAAAAAGACAAACAAAAATTTAAAATTACAAAAAGTAAAAAAGTCAAAGAAACAGGAGTACAGGAGAGAGAACCATGTATATCTAACTGGAATGAAGTGTCATTACATTTTTGTTTTTTGTTTTTTTGTCATACAATAAACTTAACATTAATTGGAATTTTTTTTTTTTTTTTATCATTTCACCAACGGCATGCCCATGTTTTATGCTGTATTTTTTCTTGGCCATTGTTTTTTGCTAATGAATGGAAACCCAAAGTTAAAGCTCAACATACCAACTTTAAGTGAACTTTTTGGTTTGCCCAACCAGAACTTCATATGCTTCATATTCCACTGAACCAGAGGACCCCATTGAGCTCTGTACTGTAGTAAATAGCATTATTTTCTCCTTGCAATTCAAACTAGACCTTTATCAGGCATGAAGGCTTGGTGGCTAAGATAAGGAAGGCAGCAAGCATGTGGTACCCCCTGCACAATACCAGGCCTTTCACCATAAGAAGGTACCTTCCAAGGGGGTTTGGCCAAGTATTCCCCCTTGCAAGGCACTTTGTTTTAACGCTGAAGTGACAAGTGCCTTATCCCCACGTTGTCCTCAAAAATAGATGTGAAAATCTGTGTGTGGAGTACTGAAAGCCCCTTTTATAGTAAGAGGGCCCCCAGATATCTGTTCCTTTTGGGAAATGAGTGCAGAGTACATTGGTATTCCTTATTACTCATTTCCAGAAGGAGTTTGATTAAGAAAAGCACACAAATCTCTTGGAAAAGTTATTTAATTTAAAGAAAAACACACACATACCATAAAAATAGTATTGATGTCTCCTGTTGCAATCCAGTATCAATCTCCTCATGTAGCAATGTATTCCATGTCAATCATGATGACCCACCACCTGCCATTCTTTCCCCAGTACACTTCTGTGACTAAATAATAGATTCCTAGTATTACAGGAATATAAATACAATGATAGGCATCCTGGGTGACATGACATTGTTAATCATATTTGGTCCAAAAAATATCAATTTTCAAGTGTGGCTAATTTAATAACAGATGCACTGAAAATATTTGCTAATCCCTTGTTAAAGGACAGCCCATTCAGATGAATTGTTGAAATCATCTGATGAACTTTCCACCAATCATAAAGTGTGAGATATTCTGTCAATGAGAGAGAAATTGTATCCTTGCATATGTCCAAACCAGTCCCTTTGAAAAACATACACAAAAAAAGGCAAGAACTATTTCAGCAACCAGAGATTTTGCAAACAAACCATCTGTACTGGTAGGACATTTACAAATGTCTTACATTTGTAAATGGTGAAAATAGCTAGCCTTCAACATTTACAATTCGCTGGTGTCTCAACACTAGTGATTCTGCATGCTTATGGTTTCTCATGACATAGGAATTTTTTTTTTTCAAACATGGTGGTTTTACACCACTGTTATAGTAAATAAGCCCTATTGCCTTGTTAGGCTTATATGAAACAACTTGATATGAGAATTAACAATTAGAACAGGAACTTTCCAAATGACATTGATAATTAGGTAATGCCATACATTTCTATGGAAGAATGATGGCTAGGAGAAAGTAGGAGAAAGTTTTGCATTGTCTGACATTCCCCAGTGAAAACTAGTCTTTCTTGATATTTTGCTGGCAGTTTCCTAATCTCTGCATGTTGTTTGTAAGAGCTACATTAACTACAAGAATGAGCTATCATGCCGAGATGAGAGAGAATGCTCTGTTAATTACACAGTAGTAGCATGGCATACTACCTTGACCTTTTCAATATTCTGTATTTTTTTTCTGTCAAAGTATTCAGTGTAGCATTCATGCTCACACTTTAGAAATAAACAAGGAAAGGTCATCGTTTCTTTGGCTTCTCTGCTAATGAAGACAAGCGAAGAATTGTGGTTGAATTGCTTTTCACAGCAGATGTTATTCCCCAAGGATCATATTTTTATTTCAGACAAAACAAAGTTAATATATGATGTGTAAAAAATGAGCTGTATTGTGAATATCAATGTAATCTGAATGGACACAGCAAGTTAATAAATAATTTGTGTTTATAACACAGCATAATGCTTGATGGCCCTCTGAAAGAGCGATTTATGTTTTAGAAAATGGCATTACTTACAGACATTTACATTTCAATAAGCAAGACCTTTGCTGAATTAATCTCTTATTAAGTTATATGGTTAAGCATACTATTAATGTCATAGTGACATATTCTTGTTGAAAGTTAGCCCTTAATACTTGAATCAAGTATAAAATTAGAGTTTTGAACATAGAAAATATATAAACAAGTATGCATCACAAAGCAAATACACTTATTTAATAGTTTTTCTATTTTAAACTTCTGTGTTAGAAAGGAATGAAGAATTCTGCTAGGTTTAATGCCAGCAGAAATCTACAAATAATCACTAATCCGTTTGCCAATGGGAAACCGTCAAGCATTTTTAACTCTAATTTGTTTTGAATTCTTTTTTTGTGGGGCCGTAACCCACTATTAAAGTGGTAGTAAAGTAATTTACTAACATACAAATATCAGATCCCCCTGGCAGATTTAAGTCATAATGTACTAGTGTGTACCACATACTAGCACATTATGATAGACATACCTGGAAACAGAGCCCTCCATTGGAGCGCTGTCACAGATCCCCCCCGCCGCTTCCATCTTCCTTGTTGTTTTCTCTGGGTTCAGATCTTTGGCCAGGCTGTGGCAATGTCACTTCAACACATGTTAAAATATGAAAGTGCAGCGCTAACTTAAACAATGATTACACATAAGATAGATCCCATTTGAATGTGGATCGGCAAAAAAGACGGCGTCAGTTCATCAGAGCTAAATACGTATACAGTCTCCAACACATGAAGAGCCAGGGATAGTAGATATCAGAAATATAAAGAAAAGCCAAGTTAATGCACTGACCAATAGCGCAAGTTAAAGCGCATGGGACATTTAAGACCTGTCCCCCTGTACTCAGCCACTGTTCACTGGAGCAAAGGCGGTGTCATCTATAGGGTGACCACTAGATGTCATTGATGGAAGCTGTGGGCCCAGCCACTGTGTTGATGGATCAGGTGGGTGTTGTCTGTAGGGTGACCACTAGATGTCATCGGTTCCAGGAGAAACTGTATGTCCAGGGATTCACTGCAGATTCTTGTTAGGCACAATCCCAGGACCTACTGGATTTACAGGCTCCCCAGAAATAAAGAGCCCGTGGAAAAAGGCCTCAAATAGTGTGATAACGTTTATTTAAAATTGAACAATCAGAAAAGAACTTACTTAGCAAAGGTACAGCTGCTTATAAACGGCCAGACCGGAGGTACATGTACATAAGATACGCGTTAGGGAAGTGCCAAGCTATGTTTATCTTATGTACATGTACCTCCGGTCTGGCCGTTATTATAAGCAGCCTGTACCTTTGCTAAGTAAGTTCTTTTCTGATTGTTCAATTTTAAATAAACGTTATCACACTATTTGAGGCCTTTTTCCACGGGCTCTTTATTTCTGGGGAGCCTGTAAATCCATGTAGGTCCTGGGATTGTGCCTAACAAGAACACATCTGCAGTGACATCCCTGGATCCGTGATACAGTTTTCTCCTGGAACCGATGACATCTAGTGGTCACCCTACAGACAACACCCACCTGATCCATCAACACAGTGGCTGGACACAGCTTCCATCCGGACAGATGACATCTAGTGGTCACCCTATAGATGACACCGCCTTGCTCCAGTGATACAGTGGCTGAGTACCAGGGACAGGTCTTAAATGTCCCATGCGCTTTAACTTGCGCTATCTGGTCAGTGCATTACTTGGCTTTTCTTTATCATTTCTGATATCTACTATCCCTGGCTCTTCAAGTG